CTGATGCTATAGACTCTACCTTCTAGAAAGGCTCCTGGGAAAAGGCTATTCATCTCCCTGGGCTCTACAGGCTTATGCAGGGGACTAGAGACAGGGAGAGGACCTGGACCATCTGCTGTCCACCAGACAGAGCAATCCTAGTCAAAGCCAAGTCTATGGACTGTAACCCATCGATAGAAAGGAACAAACTACTGATCCAAGCAACAGTATGAATAGTTCTCAATAACATCATGCTGAGTGAAAACAGATGCAAAGGAACACATACTGTATAATCCCATGCATATGAAGCTCTAGAATAGATTAACCTAATCAAAAACAAAATCAGAACAGTGGTGGCCTCTGGGGAGTTGGGGAAGGGTAAGAGGCAACAGGGTGTCGTGATATATGTGATAAGAGTCTGAATTATGCAGATGTATGCATTTGTTAAAAATTATAGAATCACACAGTTAATACCTTTGCATTTTGCTATATGGATACTTAGCCTCGAAGGAAAGACAAATCTGTAAGTAAATACTGGACTCTAGTTAACAACATGCATGCTGAAGTGTTTACAGGTAAGTATAGCATTGTTTGCAAGTTATTTTGAAATGTATCAAGAAAATGATAGGTTGGTAGATGGATGCATATGGCTTGTGATGAAGCAAATACAGAAGTTATAGAATCTAGGTGGTGGGTATATATACATGGGTATTACCTGAACAATTCTTCCAATTTCACTGTGTTTAAAATTTTTTATAATAGAATATTAGGGGGAAAAAAACTCTAAATTTTATCATGTTACTCATCTGCTCAACCCCTTCAATAGCTCTTCATCTCACCTGGAGTAAAAGCAAGGTCCTGACCATAACCTCCAAGCAGGATGATCCTACATTCTGGTTTTCCCAGGTTTCCCCTATTGTCTGGGCTTAATTATTAATCTGTCCTCTTTATTCTTAAAATTTGAATGATAGATATGTTCCTGCCCTGCCTGTGAGGTCCTACCTGACCCCACCGCCCACTGCTCTCTCCCTCCCTCCCCCTGCTTCAGAGGTACTGATCTCATTTCCAGGCACACTCCCCCTTAGGGCTCTTCCTTCTGCCTAGAATGCCCTTCTCCCAGATACCTGCATGGCTCTCTCACTTTCTTCAAGCTTTTCTTCAAATGTCTCCATAGGCCTCCCCTGAGCTCCCTATTTAAACTTGTAGTCTGCTCTTTCCCCATCTCCCTTACTCAGTTTTCGCAAAGTACTTATAACTTCTTACATGTGGTATCATTTACTGAAGGTAAACTCTGTGAAGGCAAGGACTTTTTTTTTCTGTTTTGTTTATGCTTTATCCCCAGGGCCTAGAATAGTGCCCAGCAAACTGGAAGGGCAAGATAAACGTTACTCTGAATAAAGGAATTCCCCCACTCTCAATCTGTCTCTTTCTAAAGAGCAAAGCCAATGCAGATCACCACAAGGCAGCACCTAATGCTCATGAAAGGGCAGAGGAGGGGGAGGGGGCAGAGGTCATGAGGAAAGGAGAAAAGACATCACCAGGAAGCTGAGGTTTGAAAAACATCTCCCAGATGAAGAGGGCATGACAGGAGCAGTCCCGGCCCAGCAAATAGCATGAGCAAAGCCCTAGAGAGGAGACACAACAGAGTGCACTTGGGGACAATTATGAGCAGTTCTCAGGGTGACTGTGCAGGGATGGGGTGGGGTGATAAGGCACAGGCTCCATCCTGCAGTTAATGAGAATGGGAGGTTTTCACTGGGGCAGAATCATCAGCAGATTTGGCTTTCGGAGGCTGCCCACCTTCTCAGTGGGAATTACCTAGGACAGAGACTCAACAGGATATGGTGGCTCACAGAACCCTGTGTTCTGGGTGCTCTAATCTTGGCCAACTCCTGGGATTGTGGGGCCATTTCTGGGCATAGGGGGTGGTGGGGACAGGATGAGAGGAGGATGAGGCTGAGGGTCTGTGGGACATCCAGTGGAGATATCATGCACGCATTTGGCTCTTTGAGTCTGGAGGTAGGAGGCAGAACTTAGAGGAAGAGACTTGGAAACTGTTAATTCAAGAAGTAGGTGGGACCTGGCAGGAAGCATGTTCATGAAGGGAAGAGCTAGGTTCACAGATATTTAAGGAATCAGGATGAGGAGAGAGTGGAAGCATGAGAGAGGGAAAGAGAATGGGGGAAGAGGCGAGGGCCTGAGGCCAGGGGTGAAGTTATTCCTAAAAGAGAGTATGGACATTGGAGAGGGTGTGGAATGTGAGGGGAGGTGGGGAGGACATGGCAAGGTGATGACCAGGGTGTGGAGGGAAGAGGTGGCTTTTAAACAAGGTCACAGAGTGGACTGTAGAGAGGGTGAGGGCAGGCCTAGGCTAGCAATTGCCTGGGTTCTGGGGTCAGAACCTTTCAAGGCTGCCCAGAAATGGACTCCTTCTGCCCAGTCTCACTGACAAATGAGTCTCTGGCCTCTATCCCTAAATCCTCATCTGTAAAATGGGGTAAAAGGAAAAGCATCTGCCATTTATTGAGTACTTACTGTGTGTCAAGCCAAGAATTCTCTCTCCATGTAGTGCCTCACTTAATCCTCACAATAGTCTCACCAGGTTGTTACTATTATCCCTATTTTACAGATGAGAAAATTAGGCACAGAGAGGTTAAGTCATCGCTCAAGTCACACAGCAAATGAACGGAGATGCTGAGATTCAAATCCTGAGCCTGAATTCTGGGACTTAATACCATACTATTAACCTATAAAAAGCACTTTACAGTTTACAGAGTACTCTTATCACCTCATAGGATGGTTGAGGGGAATAATGAGATGACCACCACATCCAGTAAATGGCTGTGATTATTACCATGTGTAGCAGGCTGACAATGGCCTGCGAAGTTGTCCACACCCTAATCCCCAGGACCTGTGAATATGTTATTTAATGAGGCAGAGGAGGTTTTGTAGATGTGATTAAGGATCTTCAAGTGGGGAAGAGTATCCTGGATCATCCAGGTGGGCCCAATGCAATTACAAAGATCTTAGGCAGAAGAGGCAGAGGAGATGTGATGATGGAAGCAGAGGTGGAGAGATGGGAGGATGCTAGGCTGCTGGACTTGAAGACGGAGGGAGGGGCCACAAGGCAAGGAACACAGGTGGTCTGTGAAAGCTGGAAAAGGCAGGGAGACAGACACTCCCCTACAGCTCTGGAAGGCACCAGCCCTGCTGATGCCTTGACTTTATTTTAGCCCAATGAGACTAATTTTGGACTTCTGACCTCCAGAATGGTAAGATAATAAATTTGTGTTGTTTTAAACCACTAAATTTATTGTAATTCATTATAGTAGCAACAGGAAATGAATATACCACATCACTGCACAATTGGCTCCCCTGGCCAGTCCTGGCTCAACTATTACTACTGCAGCTGCTATGAGGAAACACCCTGACGTTTTTTAATAGCTCTTTAAAGTTCCAACTTGCTCCTCTCTGAACCTCAGTTTCTTCCTTTGTTAAAAATAGAAATAGTGCTAATACATCTGACTAAATCTCTTTTAGGCTCAGAGTGAAGTAACCTACTATTATTTGAAGGTTTCAAAAGCCACTGGGGTAGATGAGGCCTAGTTATTGTCCTCACTGTTCAAATGAACACACTAAGGCTTAGAGGGGAAATGGCCTGTGTAGAGCCACACAACTAGTGAGTAAATAGAGCCAGGACTTGAACCAGGACTTCTGACTCCAGATGTACCACACAAGGGTTCATGCCTTAGGTGCCACCTCCTCAGAGAAGCCTCAGCCAATTCATTTATTCATTTGTTCATCAAACAGTCGCTACAACTGCTCTATGCCCAGTGTGGTGCTAGGTATGGCTGGGCACCAAGTTCTCCCCTCAGGAGCCCACAGCCTAATGGTCAAGACAAACACACAAACCAATCATCCCAAACAGCCTGAAATACCGAGACAAAATGAGGGAAGCACAGCGGGTTGTGGTAGCCCAAAAGAGTGAAAACTGACTGAGCCTGTGATCAGGAAAGGCTTCCTAGAGGAGGTGGTACTTGAGCTGAGGGTATGTTAGACTCAACCAGAGTGTCAACAGGAGTTCCAGTGGAGGAATGGCTAAACAGTAGCAGGGAAGCATGATGCTATAAGCTTCCCGAGGGCAGGGAATGGGTTGGGTCATCCCAGATCCCCAAATCCCTCTGGGCCTCCATGTTCCTACGTATGAACAGGAATCATGGGACTAGCTGCGCAGAGCTTTGGTAATTGCTGGGCTCAGGGAAAAGTGAAGCAGGAAGAGGGGTCCTGGGATTCTCTGAGGAGGAGGGTTAAAGGTCACTAAGGATCAAAGGTAAGGAGGACAGGGAGGATGGAGGGAGTGTTAGGGAGGCAGGGTCCTGGCTCAAGCCCCCATTCCATGTCTGACTCACGGCATAACTGTAGGAAGGTCCTCTTAGAGCCTTAGTGACCCCATCTGAGAAATGGAGCACGAGACAAAACTGTCTCCAAAGACCCTCTCCATCCCAAAGGGGAAATGACATGACACAAAATTACAAAAGGGTCTTTATTTGTAAAAAGCCAAAGGAGCCCCTGGGGTGACAGCAGGCAGACCGGCTTCTCAGGGGTCAGGGGCATTTGGGCAGATGCGCTTGAGTTGGGGGGCGCCCTCCGAGTCCTCTGTGTCACCCTGGGCTGCCTCAGGGACAGGTGGCACTGGCTCAAAGACAGGGTAAGCTTCGGGGGCCTAAAGAGGAAGGGCGATAGATGTGAGCTCCACCCAAACCCAGGAGTGTAGAATCCTAGCCTCTGCCTTGTCCAGAGCCTCCCTCCACTCCACTCCCCTCCCGGGCTAAGGACCTAGGATGCAGATGAAGTAGGACACTGGAAACAACACCGTTTTGAGGGAAGAAGTTGATATTCGATATTTGTGAAAAATGCATCAAGGTAGTCCTTGTGGGAAAAGTCAGAAGTTTTTGAAGGACTTTCTTAAGCTAACTTTATAGTTTAGGATATATATTTTTAAAAAAACGTGGAGTACCATAATCTTTTCAGGCTTTTAATGGTCTTAAATCAGCCCCTACCCAGCCCTCAGGACGTTGCCTTAAAACACCTTTTTCTTTTCAGTCCCAAGAGCCCAGCCTCTGAGCCTTTAGCTGTGTTTGAGGTCTGTTTCCCACCGGCACCTCAGGAGTGCAGCCCCCAAGCCTTGGCTGCCCCAGAGCTCTCATTCCCTCAATGACCCAGGAGTCCAGCCTTCTGGTCTCTCTCACCTCAGCCTCCACCAATTCTGGAACAGGCTCCTCCTTGGTCAGCATTGGGGGTTCATCGGTGCTGCCTGAAGTTGTGGCCCCGGGATCTGGAAGGTCAAGTTAACAGACATTCCCTGAGGTGCTGCCCTGGGACATGGCACAGACCAGGGGAGATACAAATGCCAATCACATAAGCCCAGGGGCTGAGGGAGCACTCAGGAGGGAGCCAGCAACCTGATTATAACCCAGGAAGAAGACAAGGGAAGGATATTTAGGGGGGATCTTGACAGGTGAGTAGGCTTTCATCAGGTAGACAAATGGGGAGGTAGAGCACATTCAGGCAGAGGGAACATAGAGTAGATTCTGGGGTTGGACTGCCTGGGTTCAAATCCAGACCTTGGGCAAATGACTTAATTTCTCTGGGTCTCAGTTTCCCCATCTGTAAAACAGGGATAATGATAGTAATTACCATATGAGACTGCTATGAGGATTAAATGAGAGAATATAGGTAAAGGCCTTAGCATAGTGTCTGGCACATAGTAAGAGCTCAATAAATGCCAATTATTGTTTTTATATTAGTAAAGGTATACAAGTACATGGCACAATCTAGACATCCCATAGGCCCAAGTCATGTTGTTCTTGGAAGAGAACAAGAGGTTTCAGGGAATAGTTCACAAAGGGCCAGAGTGCCATGCTGAGGAGTCACAGGCCACAGGGAGCCACTGAAGTCTTTGAAGCAGAAAAATGACCCTGTCAAAACCGTGCTTTAAAAGAAGTTCTGGCGGTTGTGTGGAGGCAACTGGAGGAGAGGAGATGCATGAGGAGGCTGGAGCTGGATGTGGGTGAGAGGTGACAGAACCTGGGGAGGGAGAGGAAAGTAGACACATTTGGAAGGTGGTTCTGACCAAACAGGGAATTAACTATATGGAAGAAAGAGGAGCTGAGGATTCAAGGTGCTGGCCCAGGGTGCTGGTTCACCATCTGTGTGAGCTTGGGCAGCTTACTTAACTTCTCTGGGTTTCAATTTCTTATCCACAAATGGGGATCATAATGCTCAAAGGGTTGTCGTGAGGATTAAATGAAATAAAACATACACAATGTTTAGAAGGGCACCTGGCACAGTGGGAGCCCAATAAGTACTACTGTTATTATCACTTGTTATGAATCACTTATACGAGTATCACTATTTGCTCCTCCACAAATATTTATTGAGTGCCTACTGTATGTCCCCCATTGTTCGAAGGATACAGTAGTGAACAAGATCAATATGAGCCCAATGTTCAAGAAGCTGACATGAGGTGGGAGTGAGGGAGAAACTTAAGTAATAAAAAGTTAAGTGTACATGAAAATCTCAGATGGTGATAACTTATCTACAGACCAGAAGAAGCCAGAGGAATGAGACAGAGTCCCCAGAGGTAGTGTGGTGACTTTCCAAAGGAGTCAGGGAAGGCATCCCTGAGGAGGCAACACAGGATGGGAAGCAGGTGCAGGGGTAAGCTGATGGTTTCAACTTTGGAGAAGACAAGACTCAGAGGAGGGGGCTCCTGGTCCTACCTCTCTCCTGGCCCAGTTGTGGGGGCTGAGCATCCTCTGGGACCCCTTCCGGTGGTCCAGCCGGTGATACAGGGCAGCTGGGCTGGGGAGTGCCTCCAGGGCTGGGCTCAGTGCCCTTTTGCAGGGAACTTTCTGAATGGAAACTCTGGTTACTGTTATCATCTGTGGAAGCAGAAGCCAAAATAGTTGGACCTGGAAGCCCCTAATCTCTTGCCTCAATCCCCACAGTTCCCAAATCCCAGGATCCCTACATACCATTGAGATCAAGCAGGATGAGAGGGCCACCCACTCTGGGACTGGCACCCCTGCCCCGCCGCTCCCGGCCTCGGGATCTCTCTGCCCCGACACCTGCCCTCCGGCGCTCCTGTGGGTTAGAAGGGTAAGGGTCAGAGGCAGAGTTCTACTTAGTGTTTACAAAGTCCCCATTGTACAAATAAGGAAACTGAGGCACAGAGAAATAAAATTCCCTGCATGAGGTGTCACAAGTTGGCACACTGGCTTAGGTCTTGAACTCTGGGTTCCGAATGAAGCAGCAAAAAGGGAGAAGGGGGTGGAGTTGCTAGTAATTTTTAACATCTGTCTGAGTTGCTGCACTTGAGAACTCAGAGTGGGGCCTGGAGGTGGAGGCCTGGGTGGGTAGAGGATTGCCTGAGGTCCCACAGATGCAGGGCCTGGTGTGGGGGAGCTCGCTCACCTCCTCCTGGGGGTCCACCACTGGCACCCACTTGAAGATTCGAAGGGAAGTGTCGCCCACAGTCACCCAGCGCTTCTCCCTGTGGGAGGGTGAGGGACTAAGTCAGAAAGGCCCCACGAGAGGGCCCCCCAGAAGCTGGACACATCTGGGGATACCCGTGAAGGTGGGGGGTGATGCACAAGGGAGGGGGCAATTTTGCTAATGGGGCATAGTTAGAGGTAGAGAGCACTGCAGATTCCAGATGGGGGTGCTTCTGGAGACCAGACAGGTGAGTAGGCTTTCATCAGGTAGACAAATGGGGAGGTAGAGCACATTCAGGCAGAGGGAACATAGAGTAGATTCTGGGGTTGGACTGCCTGGGTTCAAATCCAGACCTTGGGTTCAAATCCAGACCATAGCTCTGCAGACACCTGGGGCATACATAGGGAGCAAGGCTTAGGACCTCGCTGGGGACCATAGCAATGAAGATCCCAGCCACACTTGCCTGAGGAGTGTCAAAGCTTCAGGGGGCGGGGCATAAATGAGCGCTCCTGCTCTGGGAGGGCACCGCTGGGGAGCACGCTTTGTAGACCCCAGGGTGTAGCCAGAAGGGGGAAAGAGCTCTGCAGATCCAGGGCGCAGCTGAGGGGCACACCTAACACCTGGACACCACAGCTAGCGAAGGGAGGGTAGAAGCATTTGGGAGAGGAGTGGTCCCGCCATGTCCTGTCCCTGGTCCCCAGAAAGCGCTCACCATCTCCGGACCTTCTCGATGGTCGCCATCACCTTCTTGATGTCATCCTTGGCCCGGCTCCGGGTCTCAGCCCGCACGGTCCGGCCGGCCATGCTGGCGGGTTGGGGCCGAGGCCGAGCCCGCAGCTGGACCGCCTCCCGTCCGGCAGGCTCAGGCTTGGCGCCAGACCCGGGAGCCTCTCACTGGGCCTGCCGTCCCTCCAGGAGTTAGCCGCGCCCTCCCTAGCTCCCCAACTCCTCCGCAAGTCCCCGCCCCGCTTCCTGCCGCCGCGCCCCGCCCCGGCCCGGCCCGGAGCGGCCAGGAGGCGCGGACAGCCAGAGCCCAGGCCTGCCCGCCGGCCGGCCCCGCCCCGCCCCGCCCGGGCCCGCCCTCTCGGGGCGCCCGGACGCGCAGCGCCCCCTGCCCGCTGCCGCGAGTGAGGGTTGGGGCAGCTCCACCACTGGACGCGCGACGCTGGGCGGAGATGGTGCGTTCAGACCACGTGCGCTCTGGGAGCGCGAGAGTGTCCGTGTCTCTAAGTGCGTCCGCTGCGCGTGGCGGTCCCTGGGATGCTGTGTGGAGGGACTGTGTGTCCACCCTCGCCGAGCTGGCTGCCTCTGTCCTAGTCTTCTTTCAGCCAGACATGCATTCAGTTGTCTATTAGCTGAATGCCAAATGCGTGCCCGACGCTGCAAATAGGAGAGTGAGTCTCCACCCATCAGAATGACTAAAATGAGAATGACGGGCCATAGCAAGTGTAAGCAAAGTAGAGCAACTGGACCTCTCATATTTCTGGGGGAATGTAAATTGGTAGAGATCAAGACCAAAAAACTGTACTGGAATGTTCATAACACTATTCATAATAGCGTCAAACAGGAAAACAACCCAGCAAGTGGAGAGTGAAAAATGAATTGCAGCCTTTTCACACCATGGACACAGCAAGGAGAGTGATTGATGTCTGCTACACCCAACAACCGCTACAAGTCCCATGAAAGAAGTCAGATACAACCGTACACACTGCGTGATTCCATTTATATGAAGTTCAAAATAGACAAAACGAATTTATTATGTGGGACCTCAAGATAGTGGTTGCCCTTAAGACTGGAAGGAGCTAGGAGGGCTCTGGACGCCAGATATTCAATCTGGTGCTGTTTCCCTGGGCATATTTATTCCGAAAATTCACCGAACTGTACACTTATGATGCATGCATTTTTCCTATGTATCTTATATTCACTGAAGTTTTACTTAAAATGAGTGTGTCTTGATTTTATTTGAGGCTGTGTTTGCCAGCAGATATGTCCAAATTTATGTTACTATGTGTGCCTGTTTTTCAACGGTGTGGCTATGGTGTCTGTTGTGGTGTGACTATGTCCAGAGAGGTTAAGATGTAGGAGGGTGAGTATGACCACATTTCAGGAGCCAAAGTGCTGGGGTAAAATCCCCACTCTGCTTGTCCAGTGACCTTGGACGAGTCACTTATCTCTATTTCCTCAACTACAACATAAAAGAAAGTTAAGATGTCTATAGCTCTTAGTGCAATGCCTTGCATATAGTAAATGCCCAATAAATATTCACTGTTAATAAGTAGTGATTGTGGCTCCTACCAATAGCAGAGTTTCAACTGCACCTGCTGTGCCTTTCATCCTACATTCTTGCAGTTTTCGGCTCATGGTAATATTCTCACAGACATATATGCCTCCTTCCCGGTGCCTTTACTCACAAATTCTGCTGTGGATGGTCTCCCCTATCAGACTGTGAGCTCCTCAGGGAGCCAGAGACCAAGTACAGATGGGATCGTCTCTAGATCCCAGAGCCCAGGACAGAGTGAGTGCTTGGGAACCGTTTGTGGGGATAAGTAAATGTATACAGTCTTTTCAGCATTTGCACCACGTCAGAGGGGTTGACGTGTGGATGTGACCGTCTCTGAAGCTTGTTCCGGTGTGATAATGAAGTCTGTAAGCAGTAGATGTAGATGTGTCAGAGGGGTTCCCTTACTGGGTCTGGTACTGTGAGGTGAGGTGGGCTATCTGTTCCTCTCCTAATATCTGTGACACTGAAAGCGGGAGCAAGAAGTATCTAAGATAGGCCAGGAGGTGTTTGTTTGAGCAGGTGTGGCTCCAGCCTGAGGGCTCCCATTGTGGCGTCTCGAGTGCCCGGCTCCCCCACCGCAACCAAGAAGGAGGGCCAGCACTTTCCTGTCCTGCCAGCTGCGCCCTCTCTTATATCCCTACCCCCGTTTTCTCCAAAAAGCAGCCCAGGCGCCTAGCCTTGCTCCAGGTGGAGCCTGGGCCTCCTTCTCCTGGCGGGACGCAGAACTGCCTCCTAGTCTCCGGCATCCCCACCCTCGAGGTCCCTAGTCCACCTTGCTCACAAACTGTCGCCCCCGTCAGGCCCCTTTCCCAAGGAGGCCGCGAAGTTAGGAGCTAGCTGAGCAGGGCCAAGAAATCCTGCCGGGGGCGCAGAGCGGGGAGGCGGGGCGAGGGGAATTGTTTGGGGTCTGAGCCTTGATTGGCTGCACCCGGGCCACGCCCCTACCCCATTCCCCCTGCTCCCCACCTTCGGAAGGGGGGCATGGAGACAACCGGGATCAGCCTGGGGCCAGCATGAGCCTAAGGGAGGGAAGTCTGGGTAAGGGCCTGAAGGTCTGAATGCTGGGTGTCCGAGGGGAGCAGGGGTCAGAAGGGCTGGAAGCTGGGTCTGGGTCCCCGCTATCCCCGAGGCCAGGAAGGGAGCGGCCTGAGCCGGGAAGCGGAGGGCCCCGGTGTCAGGTAACGAGCGAGTGCGCTGTGGGTGAACTATGGGAAGGGGAAATGCCAGAGTTTAGAGGCCGAGGGCTGTGCATTCAGGTACTTGGGCTCGGGGGTTAGATCACCAGTTCGAGTACACCCTGGGGTTGGACTGGGGTCGTGGCTGGGGCTTGACGTTTGGATCATCTGAGTATTGGGAAAGAATCAGAGATGGGGTCAGAGGGAGAGTAAGAGTTAGGAGAGGAAGTCTTTGGGCCACAGGAGCCAGTCACTGACAACAGGAGGCGAAAACCGAGGCTGTTAAAAGCTAGGGACAGGCGGTGGGAAACTCAGGCGGGGGGCGGGGGGCGGGGGGCGGGGCTGGAGTTACCGCGCCAGACTACACTCCCCAGCATGCCCCGGGCTCGCGCGCTGGGCATCTCGAGAAATGTAGCTGTCCGCTAGAGGCGCCGCCCTCTAAACTTGTGCTGGGGAAGGCCGGTCGCTGGATCGTTCCCAGCCCTACGCTTTGCAGAGGAGGGCCATCGGAGGAAATGGGACGTTGGTCTTCCAGTTCATAAAATGGGCTTAAAGGCACATTTTGATTTGAAGTCCTGTGTTTCAGTGAATAATGAATTCCACCAACAATCACTGAGGTACAGAGATATGGGAGCCCCACCTTCAAAGGGCTCCCAAACTGAGGCAGATTCACACAGATAAAAGCCATTAAAAGAACTACTTGGAAGTATGAATAAATGGCTTTAAGGAGAAGGAAGAAGTTCATTTAAAGGAGGGGTGAATCCGGAGGCTGCACTGGGAAGGCGATATTTTAATTTGGCTTTAATAAGATTTCAACAGTGATTCGGGGACAGAGAACATTTCAGGTAGAACAACCATTTGGCAAATGTCGGGTGCCTCATTATACCTCGGTTGGAATGGGGCAGAGCCGGCCTGTCTACAGGTCAGAGAATTCAAAGCAGAGCTTCTGAGTTCAGGAAGGAAGAGCCAGGCTGGAAGTAGTCAAGAAATAGGGGGTTGGGCTGCCACCCTTCATTCTGCTCCTCTTTTCCCACCAGAAGACCCACAGGCTGACTCTTCAATCTCATCTGTTCCCCACCTGGAGGCCAAGATCCGTCAAACACACAGTCTTGCCCACCTCCTTACCAAATATGCTGAGCAGCTGCTCCAGGAATATGTGAGTGGGGTTGGGGGTAGAGGTACCAGGGACCTGGGGAATAGGGAAGGACAGGTCACAGGGTCCTTGACCAACCATTTTCTCAACCTCATTTCCCAGCTATGGAAATTGGCCACACAGCAAATTCAGGAGGATCCTTTCTGTGCCCCAAATGCCCCTCCAACCGTCCGCCTCAGCTTGGAGATTCCCTCCTTGGTGCTTTAAGACAGGCATTCTGCGAGTGTGAAGAGAACTCTGGTCTGAAAGTCAGGAAACCTGGGGTCTAGGCTCTGTATAATATTATCATCCTACCTCTATGGACCTTGGTCTTCCCAACTGTAAAAGGAGACACTGAACAAGATGAGCTGTGAACTGTTCTACCTACGCTATGCAGAGAGGCCAAAACCAGGTTTCAAGCTGGAACAAAAATTCCATCCCCAGAGGGGGCTTTGACAGAGGGGAATCTGCTAACATATTTGGTTTTCCTGCCCAAGGAAAGAAGGGATTTCCCGAAGTTGATCTGGTGTAGTGTAAGGAGGGTACAGTTTTGAATATGAGTACCGTAGGCCTGCCAACTTGATGTGACCTTGATGACATTAAAATGACTTTAATGATAACATTAAAAATAATTATGTAACTTTTATGACGGAGGGTGGTAGGACCACAAAGCTAGTTCTATTATCCTACCATGCACTGTTTGTTTTGCGTTATCTCAAACACAGCATCTCTGTTAAAAGGAATGTCTCTTTTGCAAGATGAGGAAACTGAGGCCCGGAGAGGGTAGGTGGAGTCACTGCCCCCTACGCCGTCGCTCCTCCGGGAGCCCCCTGACGGCCATGTCTCCGCAGGTGCAGCACCAGGGAGACCCCTTCGGGCTGCCAGGCTTCGCGCCACCGCGGTTGCCGGTAGCCGGCCTGAGCGCCCCGGCATCGGGCCACGCGAGCCTGCCGGCGCAGGAGCGGCTGCGGCTTGACGCCGCGGCGCTGGCTGAGCTGTCGCCGCTGTTGGACTTTGTGCGCCGCCGCCAGGCCGAGCTGAACCCGCGCGCGGCGTGCCTGCTGCGGCGCCTGGAGGACGCGACGCTCCAGGCCCGGGCCCTAGGCGCCGCAGTTGAGGACGTGCTGTCCGCGCAGGGCTCCGAGACCCGAGGGCCCCGGCCCGAGCCCGCCGCTGCTCCAGCCGCCACCGCCGGCGTGTTCCCGGCCAAGGTGCTCGGGCTCCGCGTGTGCGGCCTCTACCGCGACTGGGTGAGCCGAACCGAGGGCGACCTGGGCCAGCTGGTGCCCGGGGGCCCAGGCTGAGCGCGGGCGCGGGGAGCAGCTCGCTGTCACCTCTAGAGTCTCTCTCCATCTCTATCAGTGTCTGATGTGCACGGACCGTCTCCATCCTCTGTGTGTCTGCCTTCTCTATTTGCTTTTTTGTGCTCTCTGTCTCTTTCTCTCTCTCGGTACCTCCTTGTCTCGGTATGTGACTTGCCATGTCCATCATTTTCCTGCTCTGTCCCCCACCCCCCACTTTTTCCCCATCGCTTGGCCCTGCCTCCATCTCTCTTAGTCTCCCACCATTACTCATCTCTGAGGGTCTTTTTGTCTCTTTTTCTCCATCTCTTGTCTCCCCATTGGCCCCATGTGAGCATGTGTACATCTCAGCTTCACCTGAAGGAGGGGACACTTCCTTGCTGTTTCCCTGTCCCTCTCTCTGACCTTTCCTGGGCTGTTGTGGGAAGGCTACTCCAGACAAATTTCAGCCACCTCCCCCAGGGGTCACTCCCTGGGCTGCCCTCCCCACCATCCCATCCCTTTGGGCCCTGCCCCCCTTTCCCTTTGATGTCCTTCCTCTCCTTCACTCCCCTCTGCCCTATCCCTGCACATCCCCTCCCCCAGGTCTGTGGAGAGAAAAAAATCAACACTTTTAAGAGTTTTATTTCTGAGAATAAATTAATTTTTTGTAAATAAAATGTTTAATAATAACAAAAAAATGCTAAAGTTATCAACATATGGACTTGTTGAAAATGGGGAGACACCTTTGAGAAGAATAAGATTCTTGGGTTGCATCCTGGTCCCCCAGACATAACCACAAGCCACAGTATTAATAGGAAATTCATGACAGCCCCAGGCCAGGGGTGCAATCTATCAACCCAGAACAGGAAGTGGATGTGTCCTGAGCAGGAAACAGATGTGACATGAGTCCTTAGTTTTCAAGAACTGGATTTCCATTGATCGGGAAGTTAAGTAAGCCCCATTAAGATGGGAAGTTGGAACAGTGATCACAGTCAGGGAGGTAGACTAGGGTAAGAAATGAACTCCAGCACGAAGAGAATCCTAACTGCTCAGAAAGTCCTAATCTTCATATAGGAAGCAAGGCAGCCCCTGGGCCTCCCCAAAATTACAGAAAGGGGAAAATCTCCAGGAGGGCTCAGAAAAGAGACCAACTGTCCTTTCCTTGCAGAGTGGGAAGTGAAGACTCTTAAAGAGGCACTTCTTGCCACCCAGGAAATAGGCAACCAGTACCACTGGATTGGGAATCCATGAAGTAATATCCATAGGGTCCCACCCAGATTTGGAAGGGAGGCTGTAGGACCTAGGCAGGAAGGCCTAGGCAATAGGAACTTGAGGCCTTGTTTCTAGGAAATATTCCCAAATACATGGCACATAAGCCCTGTCTGCTAGACAAGATTTATCTCCTTTCTAGCCAAGCATCAAGGCACAGAAGAGTCCACTGTGAAAGAAGAGATTTTGTAGCTTCTGATAGGAAATCCCACCACCTCTATCCAGGGTATTTGACCTTGAGCAAAGCCAAGTCCCTCACAGCTCGGTCTGTCCAGTGGCCATATTCCCGGGTCACTATATAGCCTCGACATTTCCTCTCGAAGGCTGAGGCCCCAAAGGGCACAAGCCCAAGAGTGTCCTCTTCAGGGGGGACGGGCAGGCCCAGAGCAGTCATGATGGTAGCCATGTTGCCCAGTAGACCTTGGGCCCTGAGTCTTGCAGCCCCAAGCTGAGCCAGCAGGATAGGACTGCCAGGGTTCAGATCTCTCTGGTCGTCCCCCACAAGCTGTAGGTGCTGGGTCAAGGCCAGGAAGGCCCCCTGAGCATGGCTCAGCCGCTCCCCATCATCCAAGGCATGCCAGGTCTTGAAGGAGATGGCAGCAGGAGGCAGGCTGCTGAGCTGGAGCTCAAGGGCTGAGAAGCCAGGGTCACTAAAGGGGCTGCCCTGGTACTGGAGCTGCATGAGGGACAGAGACAGACAGGAGTGAGGAGACCAAAGGAGTGCTCTGGGGCTCCCTGAACTTCACATCTGCCTTCTATGAGACTAGCATCTTCCCAGGGAGCAGTGCCTCTCACTACCTCTCAGAAAATTGGTGGGATGTGCTAGCACAGAGCTTGGGCTCTGTTAGGATCCAATTTAGATTCTTCCAAGTACAAGTTGTACAACTTTGATTCACAGCTTTAATAATTCCCATGTGGCAGTATTATCGTGAAGATGATAAGAAGTAATATACATAAAGCATTTAGCACAGTACCTAACATATAATAAGGGCATGATAAGCCACTGTTAATTAATATATTTATATTAATATGATGAACACTGATATCATGACCTATAAATCATCTATTGTAATATTCTCAATCTATATTGTCAATGTCATTATAGCCCTATACATTTCTATTTTATTTACAGCATTTAGTTATGTTTGTTAATTTTATTATACTCATTAATAAATAATTGTTAATATTATTAAATTTAGTTTAGCCTTCTCCATTAAAGTTCTTGCCTCTGTAGACCTCGAGCCACAGAATCTTAGTGCACACTGATAAAGCCCCTAATTGGTAGATCACCTAGTCCTAGATCCCCATTTTGCAGGTGGAGAAATTGAGGCTCAGGGTGCCCACAGCCACCCCTGGAACAATGGTAGATAGGGGACTGGAAACCAGATTTTACTAACTTCACAAGGGTCTGGAATATACTTCATTGGAGGCGTCAAACCCTGGAGCCACCAGGGGTAGGTCATGTAACCTGGGGAAGAAGACAGGCCTAAGATGGGGTCAGCAGACAGGAGCTTTGGTCAACAGGATCCCTGCACCTGTTTTAGACACATTCATATCCAAAATTTTAACAAGCACTGCATGGCTCAACTAGAAAACATCTGGGTCAGACCCAGTCACAGGCTGCCAGTCTGAACTTCTAGACAGTTGGTAGTGGGGTGTGGGGGGGGGCATTGGCATCTAATGCCACAGACCTGCTTTAAAATCCTGGCACTGCCAGTTATTAGCTATGTGACCTCTGGCAAATTATTCACCCTCTCTAAGACTCAGTTAACTTATCAGTAAAATAGATTATACTTCCATCTCAGAACTGTTTGAGGAGTCAGTAAGGTAATGGGATAGAGTACCCAGCATGGCACAAGGCTCAACTAGGCAAACAGCACGATGTGATTGTAGGAATAATCAGAACCCTGTAAAGCCCTTCCCTTTACAAGCTTCCTTTCAATCTTGTAACTGTTCTGAGAGGTCAGCAAAGGCAGGATCACCATTTTGTTTTGCAGATAAAGAAGCTGAGACCAAGAGAGAAGGAATGACTTTGTCCAAGGTCACTAGCTGTCAATGACAGCATTCTGTGGCTGTATCTCTAGTAGACAGTGCCCCTGGACCCTTAGACCCATTGGAAGAGTCTTCTCCTGGCCTTGTTCTGCTTCCCCTACCCAGGGCTGGGCCAGGAGGGCAGGTCCCTCTCCCTTCATCTCTGTTCATGCCCAGTGTCGCTCACGTAAGTCTGGAGCAGTGTAGATGTATTCTTCTGCATGTAGAGGGCCAGGCTGTAGGCTTGATTGATAGGCTCAGCTGGGGAGATGGGGGCCCCTGGACTGAGGGGTGGCAGCAGAAGGGTCAGCAGGCAGAGGGGGGCTGACAGAAGAAATCAGAGGTGAGCACCGAGTCCCTGACTCCACCTGCTTATTCATTCATTCTTCAAAACAACTCCTCAAATGGGTGCAGCCCTTATGACTTATAACAATCTGTGTATCCAAGTCAGGGTAGAATCATCCTATAAAGAGATTATTTCCAGCCCAGAACATTACCCTGAACTCCAGACCCATGTATTCAACTTCCTGCTTGACATTTTCCCTTGGATTTCAACCAGCAACTCAAACTTGAAATGTCCAATACTCAGCTCTATATCCCCACCCCTACCCACCTCCCCAAGTCTTCCCATCTCAGGTTATAGCACTTCCAGTCCTCCAGTTGCTCAGGTCAAAACCCTGGGGCGCTCTTTGATACCTTCTCTGTTTCTCTGCACATTCAGCCCTACAGCAAATCCTGTGGACTCTGCCCTTAAAACATAATCAGTTTAGGTCTCTGTTTTTTGATCTGAGTGCTTATGACAAGGATATGTTCACTTCATGAAAATTCATTGAGCTGTTCACTTGTGACTTGTGCAGTTTTCTGTAATTTGTTATTTTCGGTGAAAAATCTTAAATGATGAAAAGATATATCCAGAATCTAACTACTCCTCTCCTTCCACTGCTACCACCAGCATGTCTCCCCAGACTATTACAGTCACCTCCCCACTGGTCTCTGCTCCCACCCTTGCCTCCCCTCTCCCCTCCACAACGCCCCATATCCAAGGTCCCTCCTCTGTCCGAAACGTCCTGTGGCTCCCACCTCACCCAGTGAAACCAAAGTCCTCCATGTGGCCTAGAAGTCCTGTGCCTCTGCACTGGCCTCCTTTCTGTTCTGCAGCCTTTCCCACTCAGGCCTTGCCCCTTGCTGGGCCCTGCCAGAACTACCCTCCAAACCTTTCCAAGGCTTGGCCTCTTCAGATAAGCTGTCCTGACAGCATATAAGAAGCCCTTCCCTCTCCCTGATTTAGTCTTCAGAGCCTTGCTCTTTGAAGCTACCTGATTTATTTGTCTACTTGCTTGTCATTGTCTCTTCCCTTAGAATGTTGACTCCAGGAAAGAGGAAACCTCACCTGGTTCATTCACTGCTGGTTCCCCAGCACCTAGCACAGAGCTTAAATACTTGTTGAGTGAATTAATGCTGCTATGAACATCCTTACCCTGACCTCTTCGGGCACTGTTGAAAGTGGAAATATCTGGATTGGAGGCTATGCTCATTTTAAATGTGAGTAAATGCTGACAAATTGTCTTCTTAAGGTCAGGCCTAGTTTGTGTTTCCACCAACAGCGTGAGGCTCAGGGAGGAGGGAAATTACCTACGGTCACCAGCAGGAAGAGATGGAGATAAGAAGCAAAGCAGAATGGACTTTTTTGTGCCCGTTTTCACATTCCTGAGTTCTCAGAAGTTCAGAATTTAAAGGCTGAAAGTGAAGGCCCATTCATTCATTCATTCATTCATTCAACAAACTTGAATCCTTGCACTCACCTTCTTTCACATTGGCATTATAATTTACTTACTAATTATGTGTATTGTCTGTCTGCAGAATGAAATCTCCATGAGACCATAGATTTTTGTCTGTTCACTGCTGTATCCCCAAATACTATCTAGCACATAATAGGCACTCAATAAATATTTCTTCAATTAATGAATGAAAGATTAATGCAGTCATCTGTGTGTAAGAATTTAGAGTTTCCCAGCATATACAAAGATAGCCAGGCACATGAGTTCAGTGGGCCAGAGGTCCCAGGCAGTACTCTACCCACCCACCCTCAGTCTTGGTCCTGGTACCCAGTCTCCCTCACTCACCCAGCAGACAGCTCATGCTCTTTCCTTGGCTCCTTCCTCTCTGAAGTCTCTAGGTTGTTCTAGGGCACCTGTCTTTCTTCCCCTCAGGTAGCTTTATAGCTGGGGCTGAGCCCTGGGGCCGCCCAGGAGGGAGGGAAGAAGTCACACCCTGGGTTGGGGGGACAGGTGCAGAAGCCCCAGAAACAGGGAATAGGCAGGGAAAGGGACACTGAGGTGACACCTTAGTCCCCACAGCCCCCAAAGTCGACCTTAAACCCTAGTTGTTGGGAGGGAGGGGGCAAGGGCGGGGAGGGGATTATAGGGGGACAAAGGGGCCGCCCTGCTCCCTGCTGCTCTGCACGTCCTGGGATCCAGTTTCCCGTGAGGAGGCGGCCCCCTGCTCCGCCCCATGGGGACCCAGGCATTGGGCCTTGGCTTCCAAGGAGTTTGGAAAAGGGACAGGAGGGGTGGCATGTGAGTGACATCACCCAAACCCAGGTGCACCCTTAGACACAGGAGCATGAGCATGTCTGCACACATGTTGGCACATGGGCACACACATGCTAGACGTGCACACACTTAAATACATTCATTCATTCAAGTGTACATTGGCACCTACTGTGTGCTGGTCCCTGTTCCAGGTGCTGGGATAGAGCAGGGAATAAATCAGACAGAAATCCATGCCCTCATGGAGATGACTTTCTAACAGACATGCTTACACACGTGTTGTAGCACACACATACATCAGACCTACACATGTTAGAGAAAGCCAGACAGAGCAGACACACATATACATGGGGTGTGCATGCATCATGGCCACAGTGCATGCACACAGACATGAGTGCAGCCAGGGGTTAGGAGATCTAGCCATGTCTCAGTCTTGCTATCCTGGGAGATCTTGGGCCGGTGGTTGCCCTCTACCCAAACACAGCACACACAGACATACACATGCACCTGAGAACCTTCTGCCCAGGGAAGCCTTGTGGCAGATTGGGAGGGCAGGGAGACAGGTACTGGGTTCTGGACCCTCTCCAGAGCTCCCTCTGTATCTCCATAGGGGAGCAGTGTTCCGCAGTTCTCAGCCCCTGTTCATCGGCTGCATCAGAGAGTGGTCAGTCATACCCCCACCCTGTTTCCTTCCTTTTTGCGGTGGAATACTCTCCTCCCTCCTGCCCTGTTTGGGGCTGGTGTGGAGGGAGGAGGCCCACCCCTTCCCGTGAAAACAGGAGATACATTGTTCATTCATTCACCCATGTATACATTCAATCAGCAGATATTGACAGAGCACCTACCTGGAGGCTGGCTCTGGGATAAATAATAAGGCTGGTCAGGTCCCTTCATCCCAGGTGTGGTCTAGTTGGGCAGACCACCAAACATGTGATCTGATACCAAACCGCATTTCCTAAAGCAGTGAGGTGTGAGAATAAGCCAAAATAGGTTGATGTGATTAGCTGGGGATGGAAGAGACTCAGATAAGGAGCCTGAGGAGGCCCAGAGAGAGGCAGTTACTTACCTGGGGTCACACAGCAAGGCCAGGACAGAGCCTAGACATTGGTCCCCAGCATCGGATTGGGCCTGGAGTGTCTCAGATATGAACTGTGAGCTGAAGGAGGGAGGAGGCTGAGAGAAGGACAGGTTGTGAGGCATGGGATCCTAAATTGGGTCTCCAAGGCTCGGGGCTACAAGAACAACCAGGCAGGGCCTGTACTGAGCAGGCAGTGATATCAGGGGATTAGACTGGGCCCATTGAGTGGGTGCACTGAGATGTGGGCCAGAACAGGTAGTGGAGGAAGAGAAGGAGGAGGAGGAGTACAGGAGGGGAGGAGAAGAGGGAGGCAGTTACTCTATCTGGTGCTATTCTCAGGCAGACAGGATGTGGGGCTAGGCCTCACTGGACAGGACAGGCTCACCCTTACCCAACCCCCCACCCCCACCTCCTTCTCAGGGGCTTTGCTTCCTCTCTCTCTGGTCCTTCATAGCTAGAGGAATTGGCCCCCAGCCCAGGCCCAGCTTCCTCCCCAGGCAGAAGTCTATCCTGGCAGAGATCATCAGCTCCCCTGCCCCATGTACAAAGAAGACACCTCAGTGAGTTGTCTGAGGAAGACAGGAGCATAATGGTTCCAAGTGGGAGCTCTACAAAGCCAAGCTGAGGAATCTGGTCTGCTGAGAGCATGTGATGTCAGGGAATGCCCACGTCAGGGTCTTGATGGGGTAGCTGGCCCAAGGGGCAGAAAGGATGCGTGANCTCTTCAATCTCATCTGTTCCCCACCTGGAGGCCAAGATCCGTCAAACACACAGTCTTGCCCACCTCCTTACCAAATATGCTGAGCAGCTGCTCCAGGAATATGTGAGTGGGGTTGGGGGTAGAGGTACCAGGGACCTGGGGAATAGGGAAGGACAGGTCACAGGGTCCTTGACCAACCATTTTCTCAACCTCATTTCCCAGCTATGGAAATTGGCCACACAGCAAATTCAGGAGGATCCTTTCTGTGCCCCAAATGCCCCTCCAACCGTCCGCCTCAGCTTGGAGATTCCCTCCTTGGTGCTTTAAGACAGGCATTCTGCGAGTGTGAAGAGAACTCTGGTCTGAAAGTCAGGAAACCTGGGGTCTAGGCTCTGTATAATATTATCATCCTACCTCTATGGACCTTGGTCTTCCCAACTGTAAAAGGAGACACTGAACAAGATGAGCTGTGAACTGTTCTACCTACGCTATGCAGAGAGGCCAAAACCAGGTTTCAAGCTGGAACAAAAATTCCATCCCCAGAGGGGGCTTTGACAGAGGGGAATCTGCTAACATATTTGGTTTTCCTGCCCAAGGAAAGAAGGGATTTCCCGAAGTTGATCTGGTGTAGTGTAAGGAGGGTACAGTTTTGAATATGAGTACCGTAGGCCTGCCAACTTGATGTGACCTTGATGACATTAAAATGACTTTAATGATAACATTAAAAATAATTATGTAACTTTTATGACGGAGGGTGGTAGGACCACAAAGCTAGTTCTATTATCCTACCATGCACTGTTTGTTTTGCGTTATCTCAAACACAGCATCTCTGTTAAAAGGAATGTCTCTTTTGCAAGATGAGGAAACTGAGGCCCGGAGAGGGTAGGTGGAGTCACTGCCCCCTACGCCGTCGCTCCTCCGGGAGCCCCCTGACGGCCATGTCTCCGCAGGTGCAGCACCAGGGAGACCCCTTCGGGCTGCCAGGCTTCGCGCCACCGCGGTTGCCGGTAGCCGGCCTGAGCGCCCCGGCATCGGGCCACGCGAGCCTGCCGGCGCAGGAGCGGCTGCGGCTTGACGCCGCGGCGCTGGCTGAGCTGTCGCCGCTGTTGGACTTTGTGCGCCGCCGCCAGGCCGAGCTGAACCCGCGCGCGGCGTGCCTGCTGCGGCGCCTGGAGGACGCGACGCTCCAGGCCCGGGCCCTAGGCGCCGCAGTTGAGGACGTGCTGTCCGCGCAGGGCTCCGAGACCCGAGGGCCCCGGCCCGAGCCCGCCGCTGCTCCAGCCGCCACCGCCGGCGTGTTCCCGGCCAAGGTGCTCGGGCTCCGCGTGTGCGGCCTCTACCGCGACTGGGTGAGCCGAACCGAGGGCGACCTGGGCCAGCTGGTGCCCGGGGGCCCAGGCTGAGCGCGGGCGCGGGGAGCAGCTCGCTGTCACCTCTAGAGTCTCTCTCCATCTCTATCAGTGTCTGATGTGCACGGACCGTCTCCATCCTCTGTGTGTCTGCCTTCTCTATTTGCTTTTTTGTGCTCTCTGTCTCTTTCTCTCTCTCGGTACCTCCTTGTCTCGGTATGTGACTTGCCATGTCCATCATTTTCCTGCTCTGTCCCCCACCCCCCACTTTTTCCCCATCGCTTGGCCCTGCCTCCATCTCTCTTAGTCTCCCACCATTACTCATCTCTGAGGGTCTTTTTGTCTCTTTTTCTCCATCTCTTGTCTCCCCATTGGCCCCATGTGAGCATGTGTACATCTCAGCTTCACCTGAAGGAGGGGACACTTCCTTGCTGTTTCCCTGTCCCTCTCTCTGACCTTTCCTGGGCTGTTGTGGGAAGGCTACTCCAGACAAATTTCAGCCACCTCCCCCAGGGGTCACTCCCTGGGCTGCCCTCCCCACCATCCCATCCCTTTGGGCCCTGCCCCCCTTTCCCTTTGATGTCCTTCCTCTCCTTCACTCCCCTCTGCCCTATCCCTGCACATCCCCTCCCCCAGGTCTGTGGAGAGAAAAAAATCAACACTTTTAAGAGTTTTATTTCTGAGAATAAATTAATTTTTTGTAAATAAAATGTTTAATAATAACAAAAAAATGCTAAAGTTATCAACATATGGACTTGTTGAAAATGGGGAGACACCTTTGAGAAGAATAAGATTCTTGGGTTGCATCCTGGTCCCCCAGACATAACCACAAGCCACAGTATTAATAGGAAATTCATGACAGCCCCAGGCCAGGGGTGCAATCTATCAACCCAGAACAGGAAGTGGATGTGTCCTGAGCAGGAAACAGATGTGACATGAGTCCTTAGTTTTCAAGAACTGGATTTCCATTGATCGGGAAGTTAAGTAAGCCCCATTAAGATGGGAAGTTGGAACAGTGATCACAGTCAGGGAGGTAGACTAGGGTAAGAAATGAACTCCAGCACGAAGAGAATCCTAACTGCTCAGAAAGTCCTAATCTTCATATAGGAAGCAAGGCAGCCCCTGGGCCTCCCCAAAATTACAGAAAGGGGAAAATCTCCAGGAGGGCTCAGAAAAGAGACCAACTGTCCTTTCCTTGCAGAGTGGGAAGTGAAGACTCTTAAAGAGGCACTTCTTGCCACCCAGGAAATAGGCAACCAGTACCACTGGATTGGGAATCCATGAAGTAATATCCATAGGGTCCCACCCAGATTTGGAAGGGAGGCTGTAGGACCTAGGCAGGAAGGCCTAGGCAATAGGAACTTGAGGCCTTGTTTCTAGGAAATATTCCCAAATACATGGCACATAAGCCCTGTCTGCTAGACAAGATTTATCTCCTTTCTAGCCAAGCATCAAGGCACAGAAGAGTCCACTGTGAAAGAAGAGATTTTGTAGCTTCTGATAGGAAATCCCACCACCTCTATCCAGGGTATTTGACCTTGAGCAAAGCCAAGTCCCTCACAGCTCGGTCTGTCCAGTGGCCATATTCCCGGGTCACTATATAGCCTCGACATTTCCTCTCGAAGGCTGAGGCCCCAAAGGGCACAAGCCCAAGAGTGTCCTCTTCAGGGGGGACGGGCAGGCCCAGAGCAGTCATGATGGTAGCCATGTTGCCCAGTAGACCTTGGGCCCTGAGTCTTGCAGCCCCAAGCTGAGCCAGCAGGATAGGACTGCCAGGGTTCAGATCTCTCTGGTCGTCCCCCACAAGCTGTAGGTGCTGGGTCAAGGCCAGGAAGGCCCCCTGAGCATGGCTCAGCCGCTCCCCATCATCCAAGGCATGCCAGGTCTTGAAGGAGATGGCAGCAGGAGGCAGGCTGCTGAGCTGGAGCTCAAGGGCTGAGAAGCCAGGGTCACTAAAGGGGCTGCCCTGGTACTGGAGCTGCATGAGGGACAGAGACAGACAGGAGTGAGGAGACCAAAGGAGTGCTCTGGGGCTCCCTGAACTTCACATCTGCCTTCTATGAGACTAGCATCTTCCCAGGGAGCAGTGCCTCTCACTACCTCTCAGAAAATTGGTGGGATGTGCTAGCACAGAGCTTGGGCTCTGTTAGGATCCAATTTAGATTCTTCCAAGTACAAGTTGTACAACTTTGATTCACAGCTTTAATAATTCCCATGTGGCAGTATTATCGTGAAGATGATAAGAAGTAATATACATAAAGCATTTAGCACAGTACCTAACATATAATAAGGGCATGATAAGCCACTGTTAATTAATATATTTATATTAATATGATGAACACTGATATCATGACCTATAAATCATCTATTGTAATATTCTCAATCTATATTGTCAATGTCATTATAGCCCTATACATTTCTATTTTATTTACAGCATTTAGTTATGTTTGTTAATTTTATTATACTCATTAATAAATAATTGTTAATATTATTAAATTTAGTTTAGCCTTCTCCATTAAAGTTCTTGCCTCTGTAGACCTCGAGCCACAGAATCTTAGTGCACACTGATAAAGCCCCTAATTGGTAGATCACCTAGTCCTAGATCCCCATTTTGCAGGTGGAGAAATTGAGGCTCAGGGTGCCCACAGCCACCCCTGGAACAATGGTAGATAGGGGACTGGAAACCAGATTTTACTAACTTCACAAGGGTCTGGAATATACTTCATTGGAGGCGTCAAACCCTGGAGCCACCAGGGGTAGGTCATGTAACCTGGGGAAGAAGACAGGCCTAAGATGGGGTCAGCAGACAGGAGCTTTGGTCAACAGGATCCCTGCACCTGTTTTAGACACATTCATATCCAAAATTTTAACAAGCACTGCATGGCTCAACTAGAAAACATCTGGGTCAGACCCAGTCACAGGCTGCCAGTCTGAACTTCTAGACAGTTGGTAGTGGGGTGTGGGGGGGGGCATTGGCATCTAATGCCACAGACCTGCTTTAAAATCCTGGCACTGCCAGTTATTAGCTATGTGACCTCTGGCAAATTATTCACCCTCTCTAAGACTCAGTTAACTTATCAGTAAAATAGATTATACTTCCATCTCAGAACTGTTTGAGGAGTCAGTAAGGTAATGGGATAGAGTACCCAGCATGGCACAAGGCTCAACTAGGCAAACAGCACGATGTGATTGTAGGAATAATCAGAACCCTGTAAAGCCCTTCCCTTTACAAGCTTCCTTTCAATCTTGTAACTGTTCTGAGAGGTCAGCAAAGGCAGGATCACCATTTTGTTTTGCAGATAAAGAAGCTGAGACCAAGAGAGAAGGAATGACTTTGTCCAAGGTCACTAGCTGTCAATGACAGCATTCTGTGGCTGTATCTCTAGTAGACAGTGCCCCTGGACCCTTAGACCCATTGGAAGAGTCTTCTCCTGGCCTTGTTCTGCTTCCCCTACCCAGGGCTGGGCCAGGAGGGCAGGTCCCTCTCCCTTCATCTCTGTTCATGCCCAGTGTCGCTCACGTAAGTCTGGAGCAGTGTAGATGTATTCTTCTGCATGTAGAGGGCCAGGCTGTAGGCTTGATTGATAGGCTCAGCTGGGGAGATGGGGGCCCCTGGACTGAGGGGTGGCAGCAGAAGGGTCAGCAGGCAGAGGGGGGCTGACAGAAGAAATCAGAGGTGAGCACCGAGTCCCTGACTCCACCTGCTTATTCATTCATTCTTCAAAACAACTCCTCAAATGGGTGCAGCCCTTATGACTTATAACAATCTGTGTATCCAAGTCAGGGTAGAATCATCCTATAAAGAGATTATTTCCAGCCCAGAACATTACCCTGAACTCCAGACCCATGTATTCAACTTCCTGCTTGACATTTTCCCTTGGATTTCAACCAGCAACTCAAACTTGAAATGTCCAATACTCAGCTCTATATCCCCACCCCTACCCACCTCCCCAAGTCTTCCCATCTCAGGTTATAGCACTTCCAGTCCTCCAGTTGCTCAGGTCAAAACCCTGGGGCGCTCTTTGATACCTTCTCTGTTTCTCTGCACATTCAGCCCTACAGCAAATCCTGTGGACTCTGCCCTTAAAACATAATCAGTTTAGGTCTCTGTTTTTTGATCTGAGTGCTTATGACAAGGATATGTTCACTTCATGAAAATTCATTGAGCTGTTCACTTGTGACTTGTGCAGTTTTCTGTAATTTGTTATTTTCGGTGAAAAATCTTAAATGATGAAAAGATATATCCAGAATCTAACTACTCCTCTCCTTCCACTGCTACCACCAGCATGTCTCCCCAGACTATTACAGTCACCTCCCCACTGGTCTCTGCTCCCACCCTTGCCTCCCCTCTCCCCTCCACAACGCCCCATATCCAAGGTCCCTCCTCTGTCCGAAACGTCCTGTGGCTCCCACCTCACCCAGTGAAACCAAAGTCCTCCATGTGGCCTAGAAGTCCTGTGCCTCTGCACTGGCCTCCTTTCTGTTCTGCAGCCTTTCCCACTCAGGCCTTGCCCCTTGCTGGGCCCTGCCAGAACTACCCTCCAAACCTTTCCAAGGCTTGGCCTCTTCAGATAAGCTGTCCTGACAGCATATAAGAAGCCCTTCCCTCTCCCTGATTTAGTCTTCAGAGCCTTGCTCTTTGAAGCTACCTGATTTATTTGTCTACTTGCTTGTCATTGTCTCTTCCCTTAGAATGTTGACTCCAGGAAAGAGGAAACCTCACCTGGTTCATTCACTGCTGGTTCCCCAGCACCTAGCACAGAGCTTAAATACTTGTTGAGTGAATTAATGCTGCTATGAACATCCTTACCCTGACCTCTTCGGGCACTGTTGAAAGTGGAAATATCTGGATTGGAGGCTATGCTCATTTTAAATGTGAGTAAATGCTGACAAATTGTCTTCTTAAGGTCAGGCCTAGTTTGTGTTTCCACCAACAGCGTGAGGCTCAGGGAGGAGGGAAATTACCTACGGTCACCAGCAGGAAGAGATGGAGATAAGAAGCAAAGCAGAATGGACTTTTTTGTGCCCGTTTTCACATTCCTGAGTTCTCAGAAGTTCAGAATTTAAAGGCTGAAAGTGAAGGCCCATTCATTCATTCATTCATTCATTCAACAAACTTGAATCCTTGCACTCACCTTCTTTCACATTGGCATTATAATTTACTTACTAATTATGTGTATTGTCTGTCTGCAGAATGAAATCTCCATGAGACCATAGATTTTTGTCTGTTCACTGCTGTATCCCCAAATACTATCTAGCACATAATAGGCACTCAATAAATATTTCTTCAATTAATGAATGAAAGATTAATGCAGTCATCTGTGTGTAAGAATTTAGAGTTTCCCAGCATATACAAAGATAGCCAGGCACATGAGTTCAGTGGGCCAGAGGTCCCAGGCAGTACTCTACCCACCCACCCTCAGTCTTGGTCCTGGTACCCAGTCTCCCTCACTCACCCAGCAGACAGCTCATGCTCTTTCCTTGGCTCCTTCCTCTCTGAAGTCTCTAGGTTGTTCTAGGGCACCTGTCTTTCTTCCCCTCAGGTAGCTTTATAGCTGGGGCTGAGCCCTGGGGCCGCCCAGGAGGGAGGGAAGAAGTCACACCCTGGGTTGGGGGGACAGGTGCAGAAGCCCCAGAAACAGGGAATAGGCAGGGAAAGGGACACTGAGGTGACACCTTAGTCCCCACAGCCCCCAAAGTCGACCTTAAACCCTAGTTGTTGGGAGGGAGGGGGCAAGGGCGGGGAGGGGATTATAGGGGGACAAAGGGGCCGCCCTGCTCCCTGCTGCTCTGCACGTCCTGGGATCCAGTTTCCCGTGAGGAGGCGGCCCCCTGCTCCGCCCCATGGGGACCCAGGCATTGGGCCTTGGCTTCCAAGGAGTTTGGAAAAGGGACAGGAGGGGTGGCATGTGAGTGACATCACCCAAACCCAGGTGCACCCTTAGACACAGGAGCATGAGCATGTCTGCACACATGTTGGCACATGGGCACACACATGCTAGACGTGCACACACTTAAATACATTCATTCATTCAAGTGTACATTGGCACCTACTGTGTGCTGGTCCCTGTTCCAGGTGCTGGGATAGAGCAGGGAATAAATCAGACAGAAATCCATGCCCTCATGGAGATGACTTTCTAACAGACATGCTTACACACGTGTTGTAGCACACACATACATCAGACCTACACATGTTAGAGAAAGCCAGACAGAGCAGACACACATATACATGGGGTGTGCATGCATCATGGCCACAGTGCATGCACACAGACATGAGTGCAGCCAGGGGTTAGGAGATCTAGCCATGTCTCAGTCTTGCTATCCTGGGAGATCTTGGGCCGGTGGTTGCCCTCTACCCAAACACAGCACACACAGACATACACATGCACCTGAGAACCTTCTGCCCAGGGAAGCCTTGTGGCAGATTGGGAGGGCAGGGAGACAGGTACTGGGTTCTGGACCCTCTCCAGAGCTCCCTCTGTATCTCCATAGGGGAGCAGTGTTCCGCAGTTCTCAGCCCCTGTTCATCGGCTGCATCAGAGAGTGGTCAGTCATACCCCCACCCTGTTTCCTTCCTTTTTGCGGTGGAATACTCTCCTCCCTCCTGCCCTGTTTGGGGCTGGTGTGGAGGGAGGAGGCCCACCCCTTCCCGTGAAAACAGGAGATACATTGTTCATTCATTCACCCATGTATACATTCAATCAGCAGATATTGACAGAGCACCTACCTGGAGGCTGGCTCTGGGATAAATAATAAGGCTGGTCAGGTCCCTTCATCCCAGGTGTGGTCTAGTTGGGCAGACCACCAAACATGTGATCTGATACCAAACCGCATTTCCTAAAGCAGTGAGGTGTGAGAATAAGCCAAAATAGGTTGATGTGATTAGCTGGGGATGGAAGAGACTCAGATAAGGAGCCTGAGGAGGCCCAGAGAGAGGCAGTTACTTACCTGGGGTCACACAGCAAGGCCAGGACAGAGCCTAGACATTGGTCCCCAGCATCGGATTGGGCCTGGAGTGTCTCAGATATGAACTGTGAGCTGAAGGAGGGAGGAGGCTGAGAGAAGGACAGGTTGTGAGGCATGGGATCCTAAATTGGGTCTCCAAGGCTCGGGGCTACAAGAACAACCAGGCAGGGCCTGTACTGAGCAGGCAGTGATATCAGGGGATTAGACTGGGCCCATTGAGTGGGTGCACTGAGATGTGGGCCAGAACAGGTAGTGGAGGAAGAGAAGGAGGAGGAGGAGTACAGGAGGGGAGGAGAAGAGGGAGGCAGTTACTCTATCTGGTGCTATTCTCAGGCAGACAGGATGTGGGGCTAGGCCTCACTGGACAGGACAGGCTCACCCTTACCCAACCCCCCACCCCCACCTCCTTCTCAGGGGCTTTGCTTCCTCTCTCTCTGGTCCTTCATAGCTAGAGGAATTGGCCCCCAGCCCAGGCCCAGCTTCCTCCCCAGGCAGAAGTCTATCCTGGCAGAGATCATCAGCTCCCCTGCCCCATGTACAAAGAAGACACCTCAGTGAGTTGTCTGAGGAAGACAGGAGCATAATGGTTCCAAGTGGGAGCTCTACAAAGCCAAGCTGAGGAATCTGGTCTGCTGAGAGCATGTGATGTCAGGGAATGCCCACGTCAGGGTCTTGATGGGGTAGCTGGCCCAAGGGGCAGAAAGGATGCGTGAAGAAAGGCCCTCAACACAGGACTACCAGGGTGAGGAGCACAGCCCATTCCATTCATTGATTCCATGAGCCTTTGCACCACCATTCCAGAGACTGGGATGGTGGTGAACCCAAGAGCGAGGGTTCCTGCCCTCCTGGATCACACAGCCTTTCAGCTCAACCTTCTTCACTGTCATCACTAACATTTCTTGAGCGCTCACTAGGGGCCTGGTGTTGTTCTAAACTCTCTCTGTACATTAACTCATGTTTCCTTTACAAAACCCCATGGAGTGGATAGTACTGTTTCTCCACTTTACAGATGAGGAGATGGAGGCACAGCAAGGTTAAGTGATTCATTCAGGGTCACACAGTTAGTAGGGAGCAGTAGTAGGATTTGAGCTCAGGTTCCAGAGCCAGGGCTCTATACTGTTATTACCATCTCTAGTCTCTGGGGTATGACACTTTCCAGTCTATGAGCCCTTTCCACAGCCCTTGTCACTCTGAGTTCCCATCAGGGTTATCTGACAAGGGGCTCTCATTCCTATGTTGCAGATGAGATGCAGGGGAAGGAAAAAGAATCACATTTCTTAGCCTCTGTTATGGTCCAGTCACTTTACATACATAGACATTATTCCATTTAATCCTTAGAACAACCCTGTGAAGTAGGTCTTATGATTATTACCCCCCCCCTTTTACAGAGGATGTTCAGAGGGGTTCAGTGGCTTGCCAAGAATACAGAGAGAATGAATTGTAGAGGCCTTGAAAATCAGGACTGGCTCCAATGTCCAGGCTGTTCTCTAAAATTCCCGGTTGTAGCTCCTCTGCTCTCCCATCTGCTGTTGCCATGCTGGGACATGTAGTTGGACACCATGATGACCAAGATGGAGACACAGATTCCCCAGTGCTCTGCCTGTATGTTTACCACTTAGGTGATCCGCTGGAACATATCCAGATATTACAATGAGTTTTAATTGTAAATGAGCAAGTACTATAGCTGTGGCATGATAGGGCTTG